GCTGCCCACAATACGGCCAGCAGTGGCCTGTTCGTCATTACATTATTGTCACGCTAGCGAGCCGGCCCGGTCCCCCGCTTCCATTGAGAATGCCCGGTGGCTGAACATTCTTCACCGGGCCCTAGTAAGCTAGCTCTGATCTCTGTCTGCTGTTGCGGCCAGCCCCGAGCCGCCGCTCATTTTTCTCAAACGCTTCGTAAGACCATTGAATCATCTCAGCAGTAGAGCGGCGCCCCCTGTTCCGTTGTTCCGCTCTGAACCGCGGCCTAGCCGTTCCACTCGCCCGCGACCGAGTCCGGTGTTTTGCTGCACGCCCGCCCCCATTCCGCCCTTCCGCTACACGCTCCGCTCCAGACCGGTCTTCCGCAGTGCCCACTCGGCCCCCAGCTGACATGCCGCTAGCCCTGGTCAGTCTACAAGCGTCCGCTTTTCGGGCTTGCCCCAAATTGACATTGTTTGAATGGCTTCAGTAAAGAGCATGGTGCGCGGCCAGTTCGAACCGTTCCGCTGCTCCCCAATTCCGGCCTGTTGCTGAGGGAGCAAAGGGTCTTCCGTTGTCTTGATCCCGGCGGGCGCTGTCCCGCCGCCTAGGGGCCAAGGTTTCGAGGTCGCTTCTCAACGATCCATTACCTTCAGTCCATTTCATTCCGTTCCGCTCCGTTCCGTGCCGTTTGGCTACCCGTGGCAAGCTCAAGTCCTCGGTTGGGGCAGCGCTAAAACGCTAGAGTAGTTTGTCCGTCCTGGCTCAGGCGAGGTGACGCCGAGGTACCGGTTCTCTGTCGCACACCTAGGCCGGCCCCTTGTCTCTGCTCCCTTCTCCGTGCACGCTTTGTTCTGGTACGTACTATGCAACCGGAAACCGTTCTGTGCTTACGCGTTCAATATGCCTTCGCCGGAGCACCGGAAGGACATCGAAAAAGGGAGATTGACTGTGCGGAGACGGAATCCATCATCTTGGAGTCGGAAGAGAAGCAGAGGGCCTGAAATTGAAATGCAGACAGGATAGAACAAAACACAGGATCTCGGAAACGGTTGTAAACAGAGACGTCTCTATGTTTGTGGGCTTTGAAGACATCCAGAGTCATTGGCGGATTTTGTTTCTCGCGATAGGGATAATGATTCAGACCCTCTTAAAATGAGATGGGCCTTCGTCCAGTTAGAAGGCCCTCTTCTTCGTCCTGGCATCATACAGTTGGAATGTGGGCAGTAAAGAAAGCGGACACCTAACGCTTTGAAAACTTTGCCGACATCTGAACGTCAATAATCTTTGTCAGGTTTCGAACGGGATGAAGAAACAGCACCGTCATTGAGCAAGCATGCAGCGCCCGACTGATCCTAGTCATTGCCCCGATGTCTTCGTACGTCAACTGACTCTGTGTCAACGCTCATCTTCGCAAAGAGAGTGATGACGTAACGTCTCCGTATGGACTGTAAGGTAGATCCTGCAGAGCTATCCACTACATATATGTAAAGGGCGACTCACTTGGAGCAGGCAGGAAACCTCAGTGTAGTCGACAAGACATAACTCCTCTTTCCTCGTATACGCGTACGCAAACGCCTCAACAGAGAATCTGAGGCTCAAACAGTTGTAATGGCATCCATATGTACAAGCCAACAAGACTTGCACCAATAATCCCAATAGTATTGTCTTTGGCATTGCTTGCCGTCACGAGCCAATCGAACGGGGTAAAGGGTTCGGACTTGACAACGGTGCACCGCGAGCTAGGGGTCGGGTTTTCAGCATAATAAGGTCAAAGCTGATCCATTGGATCTCAGGCAGCGTGCAGCCATGAGCCTCTTTGTTTGTAGCCGTTCCCTTGAGGTGAGGCTGCCTAGTCACTTGTCACACAATTTCCATGGTGCGCTCGCTTCGGCACACTCACAAGAACGATTTGAAGCCGCCCTATGTATAGTACATTGGCTAGTCACAGCCAGCACACATACGAATTGAGGAAACATAGTAAAACGTATTCCTTCCGTGTAATGAAGGACACTTGAGAGGAAACCGCTTTTCCGCTTACGCCCAAGAAATCTCAAGATCTGCGGCGACCCCAGAGTACCATTGCCCTAAAGATTTGCGCTTGAACCCAGCATCCCAGCCTGGTGCCAAGGCCGTCACTTTGTCATCCTCGCCGTCTCATGAATATACACGTTGGATGAGATGTTAAAAGAGCAGCCAGGCATGAATACATATGGTCAATTTTGCTTCAGAGTCTTAAAACGCCTTCTTGGTTTGAAAAACTGGATGTCCCACACGCAACCGCCCTCCTTCGGCTCTAGCAATCAATGCTCCTCACTATACAAGAGAGATTCAAAACATCTTGCAGCGGCGGCCCTGGAGAGGACTGAGGAGGCGCTCGATACCCTTGTATTTGACATGTAGGCAGACAACTTTTCTCTGCCGCTACTATACCGCAGCAAAACATGCATCTATATCTACTTCCGTAACGCGAAAACGCACAACCAAAAGACATCATAAGACGGTTATGAAAGATATGTTCCTTTGCTCGGACGACCCGAGAGGCTGCGTCACTCCATTTAGTGCTCAGCAATACTCGAATCTCATCTGATCCACAGTGTGACACAAGTTTGACGGGGCTATCTGCACCCCCACCCGCGCGGCTGGCAGCTTTGGCGCGTGCCGTCGGAGCCGGCCGCGGCTCAAACGCGTCGGCGAGGGCGCGGCCCAAAACCCTCGGGGTCTGGGCCGGCCGCGGCCCAATGCGAGCGATAATCCTGCAGTCGCCCAAATCCGCAGCGCGGCCGCGGGCCCCGCGCCTGAGCACGACGGGGGCTGACTTTGCGGCTGCGCTCGAACTTTGTGTGTCAGTGGGCCAACTGATCCATCTGTCGCTTCGCCTCAATCTCAATGCAGATTCGGAACTTCATACGTGCCGGCGTGGCCGCTGCAGTTCCCGCGCTGCGTCCGCGCGGCCGCGTGAAGGATTCGTTGCCTGGAGACAGTCGAGAAACACGACCTCAAAACTGCGGCTCAACAAAATATTTGGTAAGCCTTGAGAAGGCTCACGTTCTGGGATTCATATCTGTCACAAATCGGACCACTGAAGCATTGCAACAATTGATCAAGGGCTGTGTGGGCATAGAGAGGAATAAGTCGAATGAAGCGGCGTGAGTAGCAACGTAGCACAAGGCAGATCAGATCAAATGAATTTCGACCTGTTCAATCCACGTTAGTTCTCAAACATTTTGTATTTGAATCCATCCGGATACATCCCAGGCAACAAATAATTGGATACATACGTTCACCCACTGATCAGTTAACGGCTGAATCAACTTGAACGGCCAGCGGCATTCAGGAGGTCGATTGCCAAAATTGCACTCTCTCTTAGCGTTAGCGGTCCTACGTCCTCATTGTCTTCGATGGAAAGATGAACGGCTGCAAACGCTACCTCAACTGTGTCGAATCTACAAGAATCCTCTGCAACGCTGTGATCGTATGATCGAGCCTTCAGCAGAGGGATCAAAAGGGTCTAAATCGATATGAAAACTCCTTCGCTTAAGGTCTAACGACAAAATTGTCAGCCTTCCAACTGGACGCAGTATTGGTCTTTGGACCTTATATCATACAGCGTCCATGAAAGACCCCGGTTGCGGGCCCGGACGGACATGGAACAGAATAACGACGACAGTTCCTGACGAGATCAGGAGGTATTTCTACCCGCATCTAGAAGGGGTTTGCTGTGTACATAACCATGACGTGTCCATAACACAGGGCGGAAAACCGGTTTGCCCGGTCTTCTTGCCCGGCCACCCCAATGCTCGCCAGCGCTGCCCGGGCTTCGGGTGTCCTGCCCGATCATGCCGGATCCCTGCCCGGACACATGACCGGGCAATGAACTTCAGGTTGCCTTGCCCGGACTTGCAGAATGACCGGGCAACACGGGTGGTCGGGGAAGAACGGCGCTGGCCGGGCAACAAACACCGGGCAGCGAAGTTGTCTCCGGGCAGCGAAGATGATCGGGCAACAAGATCGGCCGAGATCGGGCAACAAAAGATCGGGCAGCAGAATGATGAGCGGGGAAGGATGACAGGCCGGGCAAGGCCCCCAGGACATGACCGGGCAGCAATCAACTGCTTGACCGTTGCTAGTGTTTGTTAACGTGAATTGCTTACGAGCCATACAAAACGCTGTATGTAATCAAACAATCGTAGTAAATCTGTTCTCCAGATCCAATACGCATGTGCACGTGCAGCTGGACGAGACTAAGTCTTTGGTAGGAGTCAGGAGTCTCAGCTATGCATATGTGTGTACGTTAAACGATTTATGTCGATGGAGCATACATACAAAATTGAACAATCATAACATGTGTGACTCACGCGCACTCATCAACTCTGCACAAATCGGCGTGACAAACAGAAGCTGGCACAAGCTAATCCAACTCGACACAGTAGCACGTTTCGAAATTGTTCGATTTCGAGAGCCAATCATGCAAATGAAACTACCGTAATGCATGCGTACCATACTCTTGAAGCAAGTACGTGATATACCACATTGAATGTTGATAGAATCAATTTGCCTGAGGAGATGTATGAATCGTCTAAGGAGATGTATGAATGGAACAAGGTAGTCCATCTTATACAGGCCAAGCTCTCATGGATTCCAAAATAGTCCTCAATCACTTAGTATACTCCCTTGCAACTCTTCTGCAACTCGAGGGTATACAGACCTGTAACCCCAACACTTTTTCGAAGCAACGCCCTCCGGTCTTCCCCCCCTCCTCCGTTGCTTCACCGGAACTCCGTTTCCCTCTCCCGTTCCGATCCGCTTTCTTTTCCGTTACTGCTTTCGGTTTCAATACCGCTTCCGAATCCGATTACGCTTCCGTCCCTGTAACCCGTTCCGTCTCCAATTCCGTTCCGTTGCCAGTTCTGCTTTCGATTCCGCTTCCAACTCCGCTTTCCGTTCCAATTCCACTTCCGGTCTCCGTTTCGGTTCCGCTCTCCGTTCCGTTTCCGGTTCCGCTTTCTTCCGCTTATCCCTAAATCCGTACCCTCACGGGCGGAAGCGTCTTGAAGCGGAACACCGTTCCCCTCTCGTCCTCGAACGCCTTTATCGACTCCACGCGGTCGACGATCGAGTTCCACGTGACTCGCTTGAGGTCGAACGCGCCCGCGATCTCGTCCTCGCTCTCGCTCTCACTGGCGTCGCTCTCGCTGACGTCATCCACGTCCATCGCCGTGCGTCCGGCTATAGGCCACAGCGTCCAGTCGCTCTCCTCCCCGTCCGGTGCAGCGGGTTCGGAGCGCCGCAGCCACTGCACGACGGCCATCCTTCCCCGGCCGCTGCTCACTTGCTTCACGAGGGCGTACGAGAGGGAGAACCCAGGTTTCACAAATTTGAGGATGTCGTACGGGGCCCCGTACCCCCACTGCCCTTGAACGCCCTCTTGGCGGACGTCCGGAGGTTCACGGACCGCCAGCCTCACCACGTCTCCAACCTGCAAGCACGGGTTGGTATCCGATGGTGAGGCTGAGAAGCTGCCAAATCGTGACCGCGTCACACAAAAAGACGAGCGACTAAAGTTGGAGAGCAGTCAAAAGCACTCTAAGAATAGTCTACTGCTGAAAGAAAGCAAGAGAAAGCTGTGCAACCAAAACGGTCAAAGCTGACTGCAAGCTGAGAACGGATTAATTTGGACGTCTTCGACTTTGCAAACGGTCAACGATCGACTAATCAGAGAGCATGACACGTCAACGTGCTCCTCTCAGATCTTACTAAATGTACGAGCATATCAACTGCACCACTAAAGATAACGGCGCTTAAAGACCAGAATGCTTTAAGCTCCCGAGTTGAATCGGACGTATTTGAGGACAAATTTGGACCCAAAACTGACGGACCCAAGGAGTCTGATGCGTCTTCCCAATCTCTTCAGGGAGTACGACCGGAAAACCTCAAGGCCTTACGGGTAATCGACAGCAGTTAGCTCATCATCTTACAAATAACGATCAGAAATAAGCGGTTTAAGCTTTAGAGGAAACGGCAGCTTAATTCCATAGCAGCCGTCAGCAGTAAGGTGCTTAACCCACAGATAACCCACATCAGTTAGCGGCTTAACAGAGATTATTGAGTTGGTTAGCGGTTTAACCCATAAGTAAGCGACAGGGACACTGATGTAGAGAATCGGCAAGGCAAAAACGGATTTCAGTAAGCGGCCGCCAAGAAAAAGCTGAAGGATCGTTGATTGAATAAGTACCAGCTAACAAAGGAGAAAGCTGCTGGTTTTCGATTCGTGGAGGTTGACAGAACACAATTCAACATAGAAGATCCTGTCCTCGCGTGTGAATGCGTCTCAGACTCAGCTTCCTGCCTGACCTAAAGCGGCGGTTGCTTGCATCAAAGCTGTTTCTAAATCACGAAAAAGAACAAGATACGAGCAAGTGAGAGCTTCTTAATCTGCATCGAATCTCTTGATGATCCTCCTCACACTTTCCGGCTCCTCGCATCTGCAGAAGTCCCATACCAAACCGCAGACGACCGTTTCAAAATCAGAACCGCGGCACTACAGCAAAGCATAAAGAAAACTCAATTGTTTCGAAACCTGTACATCTACGATGGAAGGAACGCCGGTAGGCCACTCTAAGAAGTGTCCTAGAGAAGCGAGCTTGCTCACCCGGGGGTAAACCGGCACCCACACGTCGTGGGCCTCGAAACCGAACCCGCTCGGGGCGACCTCGATCACGTGGCTGCTCCCAGTAAAGACGGTTTCTCCAGGAGCGGGGCACGGGATGAAGTGCCGGCGCAGGTCCCGAGCCAGCCGGACGCGCTTCTGGGCTTGCTCGAGGGGATGCAGCATGAGGCAGTTGTGGTGTCTGCCGCCCAAAGGCAGCCCGGTTGCCCCATCCCGTTGCGCCTGGAAGGCAGAGAACTGAACGAACACCCGCCGGGGACCATTTTGCGGCTTTGCTGTGAAGAAGGAGTCCACGAGCACGTACTCCTCCGACCGGCCCGCAGCTTCTGGGCGCAGCACAGCGTGGTCGCCGACCGCAAAGTTGTGCTCCCCCAACTGAACGCTCTTTGCCCGTTTGACGGTACCGGCTTCCAGCCGGGCGCCCGTCCTCCCGGCCGCCCGCGCCTCTTTGTCTAGGATCCTCTCGACGGCCAGACGCTGCGGATTCTCGAGGCGCAGAAAAGACCGCCGCTCCCAATTTTCCGGCAGCTGACCGACTACCACCCCCTCCGTTCGCATGCTCGTTAAAAGCCGCTCGTCTGACGGCCTTCCGTCCCGTGGCGGATCTCG